TATAGATATAAAATTATATAAATATATATAAAAATAATTTTTTTTTCATGCACAACTCCCTCTGTGTCTGATGTTTTTTGTTGACTTAATGTGTTGATTTCTGTTTTGTCAATAGGCACCGTTGCCATGTGAAGCACAAATTCACGTGATCCCATGGGAGAATAAAATCTCACCCCAGGTTAACTGCTCTAAAGAACGGACAATGGTATGACTCCTCTTCATTACCCATCTTCATAAGTAGAGCACAGAACAAAGGCAGTCACTAAATTCCTTACCCATTCCAAATTATCCCATATTTTGTAGCAAAAATAAAGGAACATGTAGTTCTAAACGAATTCAGTAATGACACACTCTTCCCTCTCACCTTCTAACCTCAGCAACTGGTTACATCAAAGGAAGTGTCACCCCAAGGCGAGGCCGTGGTGCCACGGTGGTTACGGAGCCGTGAAGGCGACAGACCGTCTGCGCCTTGCAGACCATTCTCCTTTGCGTTATCAGTCACGCTCTGAAGTATCACACCCCATCAGCTCCTTTGAATTACTGTTCATATTAGGCTTAAAAATTGAGACCAAAATGTATTTGGCAACACAATAATTATACGGCACATATTTCAAAAGCATCTGTGAATTTTTTCATCTTAGTGCAGTAGCAGATTTCCTGCCACGAATTGTCAATCTCTGCAGGAAGAGCTTTTAGTTTCCTCCTGCCCAGCTCCATGATTAACCAGCCCTAATAATAAATCTTTTTTATAATCAGAACTTTGCTAGTTCTGATGTTTTCAGATTTTTTTAATAAATTTTCCCCAGTGAAGAAAAGATACGCTGAATAAAGGGAGATTGATTAATGTGCATTCATAATCAGTAACTTCACTGTGTTCGGCACGTTCAGAACTACCTATTCCCTTGTTACGTACCTATATCTATACTAATAAATGTCTGTCCTCTTTGTTTTCACTGCAATATTGCATGGCAACTTTCGAATTTAGCTCCACTCCAAACAATTCTAATTTGCAGTTAGATAATGATCAGACAGAAATGAAACCCATGCTGGGTGGTGACTGTACGCCATGCATTCACTCTTTGTCTTACAGTTGACCAGTGACAGGGAAATAGAGATTGCCCAGTAATAACTGCATTTTTCATATTATCAGCTTTAACCTCTATGTGTTATTTCTAAGCAGCATTACAAAACGCATATGTCAAATATAGAAAGAAAAAAATGAATAGTTACACTTCATATAACAAAATGACCCAGATCTTTCGTATATTCTGGTATTGAGACTACTCAGAGATGTGTCAGCCTTTAGCATAAATTGATTTTGTACACCAGAGTGTTACACTCATTTAATAAGCACAGGGACATTTAGTGCTAGAAATCAACTGTATTGTTCATAAATTAAAACCAGTACACATTTTCCTCTCTATAGTATCATTCCCATGTTAAACTGGTAGGATTTCAGTGATATATAAATTGCTCTTTTAACATATAACAGCTAAAATACTTTGAAGTTATTTCTGAAGACATTTATGTTTCCATGCTTATCACAGATAGAAAAGATAATTATCTAGTTAATTTTAAAAATCTGATAACCTATTTTTCCTACATGTCACATGTACTGCAAGGAGCCTCCTTCAGAATTTCCCAAATCTGAAACTATTGTTCTCATACATGTAACAAATATGACTATTATGTCTTTCAGGCTGTACTTGTAAGAAGGCCTCCCGGATTCACACCTTTCCGAAGCTTTGCTCTACTACAGGAGCCAAACAAAATTTTATCCTCTGATAAAAATGAAGAAGAAGGACAAAGACCTGGTAAAGAAATGAGAAAAGATGGTAGGCAGGAACCTGAAGGTGAAGGTGAACCTGAGCATGAACACGGGCATACACATGGGCATAAACACGGGCACGGACATAAAAAGCATCATAAGTCTGACAAAAGGCACAGGCATGAAAATGGTTGTGGGCACAGAACTGGCCATGGGTGTGGGCATAAAAAACACAGTAAAAATGGTAAACATAAACATTCAACCCCCAAATCTTCTGAGGAGTCCAATGAAAGAGGTTTTAATCAAAACGAAACCTTCCCAACATCCCATGCTGAAAGAGCATCAGAGCTAGTTAACCCAGGGGTTGCAAGAAAAGCAACCAGCACACCTGCAGAACCACTAATTCTTCCTGATACTTCTTTATTTAATGGGTTGCCAGATCGCCCAGAACCTCGTCACCCTAGATGTCCTGGAAAACCATGGAAATCAATTATGGACCCTCCAGCTCCTTCTAGCTTTCCCAGAGAATTCACAGACGAGGATCTCTTGCCTTCGACAGCAGAGAACATCAATCCAGCAACAGAAAGCTCAACGCCTCCCCCAGAATTAGATTTTGACCTCTCAGACGCTCTAAGCACAGAGTGAAGCCGTGCAGCAGATCTCACTGTATTGTCTTAACAATGTCACAAAGAATTTTGCAGATTACATGGAGAATCTCAAGTAAATATGAGTAAGACAAAAGCAAGCCAATGCAGAGCAAAGAAGCCTTTCTTAGAAACCTGAAATAATATTTCTCTAATTTACCGGAGTGAATCTTTAAAAGAACAAAATTAAATAAAGAAACTTGTTTTACCTGTCAAATTCTTTAAATAAATTAATATTACTACAAGTCTATCACTAGCAGGTCGTTCTGTTGAATGAGGTAACAGGGACAGCTAAGAGAATTCCAAATAAAGCAGCTTTACTGTTCCCTTTGCGTATTAACTACACAGCAAAGGCACTATGATTGACGGATTTTCATGGGACAGAGGTGCACAGATATTACAGATCTGAGGAAAAAAATGCAAACATTTGAGTTACCTAGTTTTTGTTTGCCTTGTTCCCTCATTAGGTAGTGTGTGACTTGGAGATTGGACTGAATTTTCCACTCTGGGTATCTCTCAAAGGTTGAGTTTTTGGTGGGATACATTAGCTAAAAAGCATCAAATATTTGTGGTAAATCAAAATACTTTTTCCTTCTGTGTGGATCCAATCATGTATTCAGCTGAAAAAACACCTAGCAATAAATAAATGCTTTAATGCCAGATCAGTTCACCAGTTTGAACTACTACTCAGTTACTGAAAGGGTAAGATGCTACCAATGGTAATGTTTCACTGATTTTGTTGTAAAAGGCAGGTTGTTTGCAACCACAGCTTAAGTATCCTCCAACACAGCTGCACAGACAAAATGAATATTATCTGAAATTGTTCATCCCAGCTGCTGGGATGGCTGTGGCACCAAGATTGTATCCTCAAGAGCTGGGAATGTGCCCTTCTTTTGTGTGCTGTGCTCCTGTTGCTGTCAACTCACTGGTGAGGAAGAACTAGATAGATGAAGACTACTTAGAGAACATGAAACAGATGGATCAACAGGGTCAGGAGGCCTTGGCACAAAACGTCCAGGAGGATCTGGAAAGAGAAGATAGCTAAAAGGAAAGGTCGGAAGACACAAAAGTGGAAAAGACAGAGGCAACGCCTGCTTCCTGCCATGTTCAGTTACTTCCCAAGTCCATACAGCAGAAAACTGCACCAGGAGCAAAAGAACTCAGTCCTCCTGATCATCCATGCTGAGGGAGAATCACTATGATTTTGCACCTGCATTTATTTTTCTTAATTTTCTCTAATTGCATTAACAGCCACATTGAATTTATATTTAAGAAGTCATAAAGTCAAATATCAGAAACTGTCGCTGTGAGTACAAATTCAGCCTGGTTATGTGCATCTAAACATTTTTTTAACACAGTGTAATTGGCTGCCATATAGACATATATTAGACAGATAGACAGACAGACAGATAGATAGATAGACAGGTAGGTAGACAGAAAGATAGACAGATAATTATCTGTCATGACTGGTGATACGTAATTAGAATCACTGTACTGCCTTTCCTTCTGAAAACGAAATTACCAATCTTTAAGAAGGCATGCAACTAAGCTGGAGCCCCATTTTAAGGGAAAGTACAAAAAGAATAACTCCTGGATTTATCACTAAACAAATTCTGCTTTTTTTTCTCTTTCATTTCTTTTCTTGCAGGATAAAATGCAAAGTCTATCTTTTCTTTTTAGCACATGACAATACTAAACTTACAAAGCTAGGCAAAGGAAAGCCATGAGAGTTATCTTTAGTTGTTTGCTTATTTTCTTTTTTTTTCTGAATATTGACTGGTATGATTTAGGCTGTAACAGCAAACTTTCATGTATGCTGTATTTTTAAAAGGAGTAAAGCTCAAAACAGTTTTTCTGTAAATTACTGCAGCAATTTAGGTAATTCATGAAAAATTACAATAAAAGAAATGAAGATGTAAAGGTGAGAAAAACAAAGTTTTCTTCCCCTCTCCGATCTCCCTCATCTGAATGAAAAGAAAGTCACACTATTCTCCCTCCGGAGCACACACACGTGACCACAAGTTGTGAGACCCAGACTGAGTGGTCAGAGCAGGGTAAGAAAAGTCAGGATTCCTAGATTCTTGACTGCCTTGAAGTTACCACGTGCTACAGTGATGATGTGACTGTTTAATACAAAGATGACAATTTTGACTTTTTGTTTTTACAATGTACAAAAAAAAATCCTTTTTAAAAAAAAAGAAAAAGAAATCATTCTGGAATAAAAATCAAAGTGTTTCAGTCTAAAAATTTTGAAACATAATGTTCCGGTATTTTTAGAAAGGACTATTTCAATTTCTCATTGGTGTGTTCCCACAGAAAGTTTTAATTAAAACAAAACATCACTTTCTGATGGAAAAATATGCTATCAGAAAACTACTGACCAGGCCTGTTTCTCCTTTGCTGGAATCCTGCTGGAGCACTCTAATCAGGACACTGCAGTGCTTAACAAGTACTTTTCTCCTTAGCCAGCAGATGGCAATTTTTTTGCCACAAGGGTTTTACGATCTCCAAATCAGGGTTTTGTGATTGCCAGGAAAGGTTTATTAGTTTAACACGCAGCATTTCTTCTGGGTTAGAAACACTGTAGATGAAAAAATCCGTGCAATCTGTTTTACATACTAAGCCCTATTAATGGAGCATAAAAAGTTTGCCAGTTCTGTATTATCAGCAACGTGTACAAATAATGCTTTAAGTGTAATGTCATGAACATAAAAAATAATAGCCAATCCTGCCCAGAAAAGATGCATTCTTACTGATATAGATAATTGGAACTAGGAGTCTGGGGTATGAAAATATGTCTGGATTAAACATCTGTTCATGATCCTTCCGAGATCCAGAGGCACCTGATGGCCATTCTGTAGATGTCTGGATTTAAAGTGTTCTCTCTCTTGTTCATTCCATCTGTGACAATGAGACAAAATACGTATTTTAACTGACGTATGAAAAATTACCCAGCTTTAGTATGGATAGCCCACTGGATTTTTGCTTTAATTTAGATATGACCTTTTAACCACACTCGGTCGTTCCAACCATGCTCTAATGTTAAGTTCACACGGCCTAACTAGCCATGGGAGAGAAATGTGCAGGCACTTGACAGCAGAAAATGGGGAGGATTAATGATGAACAGTGGCATCTGAAAAGACATAAGAACCCTTTTTTTTTCCCTTGTTTTCTTGGGTCTCTCTGCCAGCAAGGTAATTGCACTCAACTTAGGAATATCAGCTCTGAGCATAAAATGGATCTAAGCGGCTACAGAGTTAGAAATTACAACACGTCGAGGTCATTGCCATACAGACAGAGCTGTATTAAATTCCATGTACGAATTCTTCAAATATTCTTAAAAAAACAACAGGGATAGAAACTTTCAATTTTGTGATCAGCTATTCACACACAACTCCTAATTCTGCTGTGTTTATAAGACTACATTAGTATAATTCAGTTTTCACAGTAACTAAGCTTAAGTGAAGTTCATTTGGTAAAATGTAATTAATAACAAAATGTTTCTACTGCATTCCAAAGTAAGAGGAAGGCTGCTTTAAGGAGGAAGGACTGAGGATTTTCCTAATTGGGTAAGGCATCTTGCTACAACTTCCCTGCTGTTCCCGAACTGGTTTCAATCTGTTGCTCAGTGAAAACCCAAACACAATCTCCAAAGGAGCAACTCCCACCAGTACGGAGTAACGGGGATTATAAACCTAATAGCGATTTTTTTCTCTTCTGCCATGAACACTGATAGTGCTATCTGTGAGCTGAAGATCAGGCATTAAATTACTGGCCTCACATAGCAAGCTCCTTACCTTGCTGCTTCAGTTCCGAGTGAGTCACAGAGAATCAAAACTCCCCACAAAATCTAGAGTCATGTCAAAGAAGTGTATTTGTTTCAAAACTGAAGTCTTCATGAATTCCGTGGATGACTCTCCATCTTCCACTGGATGTGCTTATTAAAGGAGCCCTAACAGACCTCTTGCCTTGGAGTGGAAAAATAATTGTGTGAGCAAAAACCAAGGGAGTGAACAAACAAAACTGACTAAGGCAGGAAATGAATGAGGATGTACCTTCTATCCAGGGAGGGCATATTTTTAACTGAAGCTTAGATTACTACAAAAACCTCAAAGAGCTGGGACAGACAAGAATGGAGGATTATTAATTCCAAGGGGGAAACATAATGTTCATCAATAGCACAAGGGGAGCTAGAGTATGTTTAAAGAAAGACTTGAACCTACACGTCCAAAACACTATAGCTCAGTACGTTGAAAAATCCAATAGACACACGTAAAGAAATTTAAACATTGGCTTATTTCTTATTCTAACCCTTAAACATATTAGCAGAAGTTAATTTCTTAAATTCAGACCAAGGGAAAAACGATTAATGCCATAAAACATTACAGAGAAGTAAATCTATTATAGCCGAATTCTCTTCATTCAGATGTACATGCTGTTCTTCCAGCTATATATTAACTAAAAGAGCAGCAATGCTCACAAAAATAATAAAAATCAAGAGACATAATGTGACACACCTCAACTTCCCAGAATTCAAACTAGTATTGACAATATGCTTTGTAAAAAAAAAAATTAAAAATAAACAAAACAGTTTCAGAAGGTATCAAGAATTCAGACTGATCATTTAAGCAGTCTTGTGACCGATAAACTAAAATCTCGTGTTCAAGCCCAGCAGCCTGATTTTGAGTGGTGTTGAGAAACCTGTGCTCCCATTAATTTTAAATAGCATTGCAGGTCCTCAGCATTTCTAAAAACCAGCCCTTAGAGCACTCAGTCTAAGAGTAGAAAATTGATATTACTTGGAAGAAGCTGAGATGGACCTCGAGCAATGCAACACCTCTTTTAACCTGAAAAAGGTAATTATGGGCAGCATTAACCCTCAAAATAGCTCTTATATTTTCGGATGCTCTGAAAATTGGTGCAGGTCCCAGCACTAACCACAGCAGAACTAGTGGCTTAATAGCCTTTTTTCCTGGCCCAAAAACAGAGGGCAGAGTGTTC